TTATATAATTAATAAATAATTAATTATAATTAAAGATAATTAATCATACAACAACAACATTAAGCCTTTGTCCCACTACGTGGGGTCGACTACATGAATCCTTTTTCGCCATCGTGTCTAGGGGTGTCAACTTTCGACCCGACCCGAAACCCGACCAGGAAAAATTCGGGTTTGGGTCAACCCGTTTACGAAACGGGTCGGGTCAGGGTTCAGATTTTTGACCCGTTTGAAAAAACGGGTCGGGTTCGGGTTGACCCGACAACCCGCGGGTCAACCCGAATTGACCCGTTTCGCGTCTGCGTCAGGTCTCGCGAACTCGCGCGCGTCCACTGTCCAGCGGTCCAGCCCGGCTGCCGGCGGCGAGCCAGCACAGTTGCGGAGCGCGGAGCAGCGGATCCCGATTCCCGCATCCAGCAGTCAAGCCGGACCTGCCCGCACCCGCGTCCAGCCAGACCGGCGTCCCGACTCCCGCGTCCTCTTGCACTCCTGGGTCCGCATGCAGCCTGACCGGCGTCCCGACTCCCGCGTCCGCGTGCAGCCTGACCGGCGTGACGGCATCCCGACTCCTGCGCTCCGCGTCCAGGCGTCCCGTGACGGCGCAACCCCCGAACTCACCCACTACCGGGTCGCGGGTCGGGTTGGGTCAACCCGGCAACCCGACCGGGTCGGTAAAAAATAATCTATGATTAATTCTAATTAAAACTAATTAAGCATAATTAAACTTAATTAATTTTGAGTAATAAATATTAATTATAACTAACATAATTAATTATAATTAAATTTAATCAATTATTACTAATTCATAATTAATACTAGTTAACTATAGTTAAAAAATAATTATAATCAAATTAATTAATTATAATTAACTTAAATATATTATTTTTTGGTTGCTCTAGAGGGCTGTTCGGCAGCAGGATTTGGCCGAAGAAGATCGCGAAAGGGAGATGGTACCTTCACAGCGAGCGAGCTCCTGTTGTTTCTTCCAATCCGACTGGAAGGGAATGTCACTGGATGGGCAAAGCCAAAGAAGCGCATGAAAGGGCAAAAGTTATCTTCACTGCGAGCGAACTACCTTTGCTGCTTCCGATCGAAATGTTGTAACATCCGACCGTCAGGAAGGGAATGTCGTTGAGGGTGCCGGAGAAGTGCATTAAAGGAAGAAAGATGCCTCTACAACGAGCGAGCGAGCTCCTATTCATTGCCCCCGATCTAACAGAAGGGAACGACGTCGAAGGGGTGAAGTCGATCAGCAACGAAGGAACCGAAGAAGTGTGCGATGGGGAGAGGAGTCAAGAGAGGCAGCCCCGACTCTCTCATTTCTCCGCTATTTATCGCGGATTGGGGAGTTTGTGCGAACGATGTGCAAGCGACGTGTAAGGAGAGGGGTTCGAAGCTGCCGCGACATGCAATCCGGCACCGTACAGGTACGAGTGAATTTTTTTTTTTTTGTTTTTTCAGTTTGCTAACAGTACACGGGTCAACAAATGTGAGTCTTATCACGAAAGTAGATAGTCCATGTTCTAGGGCTTGACTTTCTTTGAGTTTCAATCCAATATTTGAGAGTTATAGGATATTATTTGTTTGTTGAAGCTCATAAGAGATTTACTTAGAGTGAAATTCATGCTATGAATTAAGCACATAAGGTAATTTCGTTAAGTGTAGATTTTTCTTCTACTTGCGGTCTTAGCTCTCATGTAAGAAGTAGTTTAGCAATTTTTTAAATTTGAGGCTAAGTCGAAATCACTTTTATCCTAAGCTTAAAGTTAGTTTACCTTGTACTTATTTGACTGAGTTGTACTCGGGAAATAAGTTTCTCAATATTGATTTAAGTTGTTAATATACTAACTCTATTTTGTGAAGTCGATCCACTTCAAGTTTAAAAGTTTATTCTTGATTTTTTAGTTCTACCTTCTTTGATAATTTTTTTCGCATATGCCCTTCTTCTCCTTCTTTTCTATTTCTCTTAAATAAAAATGAAAATTTTTCGAAAGAGGAATGATTTTGCCAAATTCTTAAATTCAACTTGATTAAGTACTATATTCCCTAGGTATTTGGCGAGTAGTTGTTGAGTATAGAATTCACAAAGTGCTTGCCAAGTACTGAGATTCTAAAGTTCATGTCAATATTGCAAAGTACTTGTAGAGTTCCCCGAGTACTTACTGAGTTCTGCATGCATTTGTTGAATTTTCCAAGTACTATCCTTTTTGGTTCTCTGTTTTGCTATTACAAAGCTTGGCTTCTGGTTAGTTGCATTTTTCCATGCACACATTATCTTAGAGAATGTTGAATTCAAATTTATTCATGGGAAACACCTGGACTTACTCGTTAGTTTGGCTACAAAAAACAAATAACCAAGGAGAAAGGGGGAGGGAGAACATTATGATTTTTTATTGCCAAAAAGTAGAGAGCTCGATATAATGAGTTGTGTTTAGTTTTACCCTTTGACCTGCTATATATCGATGGGAGTAGTGCAAGGATTTATTATATTAAAGGTAAGTACAAAACAAGCAAATATGACCTAATGAAATATTATCATAAAAAAATAAGAAATGTTAATTATATCTAGTTAATTATATGAGATATGCATCAAAATTTCCAAATATTATATTTGACAATATGTTGCCACCTATCGATCTAGTTCAGTTTAATTGACTCGGGAGATCAAACTTTTCTAGCCAGTCGGGTTGACTTGAGCTTGGAACATGTGATTTGGGGTGTACATAGTATAAATGAAGTTCCAACATGATTAAGACAGAAGCACTAGGCTTAAAAAAAGCATCCATAAGAATAGTGTGGCATTCAATTTTTATCTGAGTAAATGATAAAATACATTTTTTCTGCCATAATTTCTTTTATGTTTATTGGTATAGTCCTACCAAAATTAATGTTTTTCAGGTTCCTAACAAAATGAATTTAATCTATAAGTCTATTATATAACAGATGCAGAGACCTTGTGTATGCAAATTATAAATTTATTTTGAGACCAGCTTTATTGCATCTCTAGCTTTAAGTTATTTGAGAATTTCTATGCAGAATTCATGCATTTTTCTAAATATTGAACTGTGATACTTGATTTTTTGTTTAAACCTCCGACCTAATACGTGGTAAAATATAAGGCTGTGAAACTTATTTAGATTCCAGTAAATCGTCTGATGGGATATTTGTAAAAACTTGTGATAAACACTGAAATTTATGACCAATTTCTATGTTTAGCTCGATCTGAGTCATTAGTTATGTACGGGCAGTTTCAACTACTGTTAGAGGCAAGGTTTTAAAACTCGGTTATTATTTCGTTCATGTTTTTCATTTTAGTTTTGATAATTGCTATAATTTTTGCAGTTTTGGTGTTTAGTTTTAGCTTGAATTTTTATTATTTTATATCATTTATTTATGCATTTAAGATGTTTATATTTTTAAATAAGTTTTAAATTTAAAAATAATAAATTTGTTGTAAATAAAAGAATTAGAAATATGTATATAATCTTATAACTATAGATGTCATATATAATAGAGTAAATGACTAGCATCTTTATATTAAGCTAGCAGCCATAATGAGAAGTGTTAGAAATTGTTTATATTGTTTTTTAATATCTAACGTTGTATTCATATGTTGATTGACTCTTTGGAAAGCCTTTTGATTATCTAATTTCTCATTATCACTTCTAATCCTTTCAGCTGTCAATTTCTCGTGGAATTGGAAAAATATTTTTGCCCTGCTTTTATTATGTAGGACGGGCTATATTGGAAAAATTTCAGCCAGAATGACCTAACATGGGGTGAAAGCCAGCAAATTTTTGTCCTGAAATCTAAAGAAAAATGAAAATTTTTTTAGTATATGGTAGAATCAGAAAAATAGCAGAGTTATGACTTCCCAGAAACTGATCTGATCGGATTCTGACCATTCTTGACCATGATTTGAAGCATTATAAGTTATTGATTAAGGTTAACCATTTATCTTGTCTTTTGTTCTATTGTTTCTTATTTTTTTCAATCCATTTAGGCCATTGATACCCTAGTGTATGCTTTTTGCCGATGATTTTCTTTCTTGTTGATAAGACTAGAGAGAGGGAGTCGAAGGTAAACTTGAATTATGGAGGTCAATGTTAGTTTCTAAAGGCTTTCGTTTAAGTAGATCTAAAACCGAATATATGGAGTATAATTTTAGTAATAATAGATCTAGTGGGAGGTTTGTGACTTTAGGTGATCACTCATTAATAAGAGTACACATTTTGATATCTTGGGCCTATTGTTCAGAGTGATGGTGAAATAAATGGGGATATTATTAGTATAATTAAAGTTTGATGATTGAAGTGGAAGAATGCATCGGTTTTGTTGTGTGATAGAAAAGTCTCCCTCAAATTTAAGGAAAAATTCTATAAGATGGTGGTGAAACCTGCAATACTTTATGCTATAGAATGCTGGGCATTAAAAAAGAAGCGTAATATTAAGTTGTGTTGCATAGATGAGGATGCTCAGGTGGATGAATGGCCTTACTCTTAGAGACATGATACGAGCATATACTTGAAAAAGTTGGAGTAGCTCCCATGGAAGATAAGATTAGAGAGAGTCACATTAAATGGTTTGGTCACATAAAACAACGGCCTTCTGCCCAGTTAGGAAATTACATCTATTTGATTTGACTTATATTAAGAAAGGTAGATGTTAGAAAATATTAGAAATGCCATTTTTTATTAAATTTAAATGAGAATTTGACTCTTAACAGGACAATGGAGAAAAAAAAAAAATTTATGTAGACGACCCCGCATAGTGGGATAAAGGCCTTATGTTGTTGTTGTTTCATGTAGGTCATTGATAATTTGTTTTCCATTTATCATTTTGAACAAAATATTACAAAGGATTCAAAATACATTTCAACATCAATGTGCTTCGTTAATTCTGTTAGACTATCTCTCAGCATATATTTGAACTATTTATTGTCCCATACGTTTGTGGGAGAATCACTTGCATAGCTAAATCTTATTAATCTCTGTTATAAATAGGAGAAATACTGGGAAGATCATCCAGGAGAAGCTGTGCCATTAATGAGGCCAAAATTCTATTGGGGTCCTTGGAGGATCTATAACGGGGATACTCTCCCTCCCATGAAGTAATTCTCGTAGGTTTCGTTTGGGACGGGTTTTTTATTGCTTCTTAAAGAATCTTTTTAGTACAAAAATTAAATTTTTTGTTATAGAAAAATGCTTTAAGAAGCAATAAAAAAGTCATCCCAAATGAAATTGTAGTTGTATTCAAAGGAGCTCGCAAGAGAAATAGAAGAACAATGAATTCCATGTGGCAATCTGAAGGGATGAGGTTTCTTTATGTTTTTTGTCTACTGAATTCAAAACATTGCTCTGGGAATTATTCCTAGCATCAGTGCAAACCGTTACTCTTGATGCACTGTTTTCAGCCTGGTTTTGAATATATTAAAATCTTCATTTTTTTTTTGAGAAAATGCCTATAGCATTAGATAAAAATAAAAAGCTGTTACAACCTAATGAATTTATTCAATCCAACACATTCCTCCTTTAACAACATTGCAAACGAAGGAGGAATATCACTACTAGAAAAGTCATTCCAAACAAAATTACTAAATAAAGCAAAGTTAACACAAAGATTTGCTAACTTATCACAACTTCTATTGGTAGAACTAGGGCAAGGGCAATAGGTCCTTTTGTATTAATTTTGAATTTCATGCATTTAGTTAGGGGAAAAGCTAGGGTGAGGGTTATGTGAAATTTGCTGAAACATCTCTTGGGTTTTCTCTTGTGGTTAGGGCTCTAGATTGTTTTCTAGAGATTGGGAGAGTGAGATCCTCCTCTCGAATAGAGGATCCACTGTATCTTCGCTGTTTTTCTTGCATATATCATTAAAATCAACTGTTTGTGTGTGATTTCTCCCTCGTTTCTCTTTGTTTTCTCTGTTTTTCCACTGTTGGTTGCTGTTTTCCTGCTGTAAACAACAGTTTGGTTGTTGTTTCTACTGATTTGGGCTAGGAAATACTTGAAATCAAGTATTTCCTATCAAATTGGTATCAGAGCAAGTCTTGGGATCAATCGTGGGCTATTTTTTGACAAATTTCAGCGGTTGAAATTTGTGCCGGTAAAGAGGAAATTACTAAAATATTTTTCAGATCTAGAAATCTTCTCAAAAAAATTTCAAGCCATAGGAGATGGCGGCTAAGAAGGTGGATGCTTTGGAGGAGAGGCTTGAAGGAGAGATGAATCAAATCAAGGAGACTGTGGAGGAAAGAATTTCTTCCATGGAAGGATACGTGGCCGATCTACGGGATATGATGATGAAGATGTTGGAGTTTCAAACTCAATCGGCGGCGTCTGATGCAAAAGGGTCTGAAGAGAAAACACCAACTGTGAAATCCATCGAGAGGAAGAGGAAGTGGAAATCGAGGAAGGGAGTAGGGGAAGAGGTCATCTGGAGCCTTTCCAGATGGAGGAGAGAGGAGGAAGATATGGGGAAAGGCAAGGCTATGGAGGTGTGGAGCCAAGAGGTGCTAGTTGGGAGCACCAGGGGGGTTATTATGGACGCCGGGGGGCTGTTTTTGAAGATCGGAGAGAGGATCTTGAAGGGGGATGGGGGCATGGTAGAGCAAGGGAAGATCGGGAGACATGGGGGTGCCCAGGCACATGGGAGAGGGGAAACTATGGAGGATTAAGGGGAAATGGCGGGGATCAGAAGGTGAGGAAATTAAATATGCTCATTTTTGAAGGGGAGGATGCTTATGGGTGGATTTACAAGGTGGAGAGGTACTTTGCCTTTAACGGCTTAACGGAGGAGGAGAAATTATCGACAGCGGGCTTATGTTTGGAAAGGAAGGCACTCTCTTGGTACCAGCGGAGAGATCAGAGGAGAGCTATTCGGAGCTGGGAAGAATTCAAGGACAGTTTGATAGAGCGTTTCCAAACTGACCGGGGAGGAGACTTCTACGAGCAGTTCTTTGCCCTAGTGCAGGAGGGGTTTGTGGCGGACTACCGAGAGAGATTTAAGCATCTGGTCAGCAGGGTAGAGTGGTTGTCCGATATTGTGCTGGAGGGGAACGTCATGAAGGTGTTAAAGGCAGAGATTATAGCAGCGGTGAAGGTCCTGATGCCCAGGGACTAGGGGGAGGCCATGAAGCTTGCACAACTGGTCGAAAATCAAAAGAATCTGGAGAAGGGAGCTAGGAACATCAGCTCAGGAGGCACTTACCGGTTGACGACTACCCACCTAGCCTCCAAGGGAGCGTCCATAGGAGGGATGAAAGAAGTTTCGAAGGAAAAAGCAACAGGAGGAGGAAATGGGGGGCAATTCAAGAAGCTTACTGAGAAGGGAATGCAAGAGAAGAGAACAAAAAGGCTGTGTTTTTTATGTGACGAAAAATACATGCCAGGGCCTAAGTGAAAGGATCGAACTCTTCAAGTTCTCCTCGTTTGTGAAGACGAGGAAGAAAAAGAGAGAGGGGGAAGTGGTTCTGAGGTTGTAGGAAAAGCTGCATCTGGATGTGGCAGAAGTCTCTCTTAACTTCGTAGTGGGATTCTCTCTAAGTCACAGTATGAAGGTGAAAAGAGATATAGCTGACCGTGAAGTTGTGGTGTTGATCGATAGTGGGGCAACCCACAATTTCATTTCCACCCAGATTGTGGAGTTGCTGGGGTTGGAGTTAGTAGATACCGGAGGCTATGGGGTGATGATGGGCACGGGAAAGGTAGAAATGGGAAGAAGAGTCTGTAGAGGGGTGGTGCAGAAGATCCAAGGTATCCAAGTGAAGGAAGACTTCCTTCCCCTAGAATTAGGAAGTACGGATGTCATCCTAGGGATGAGGTGGTTGCAGACCTTGGGGGAAACCAAGATCAATTGGGGTACTCTGACGATGGAGTTGGTAAAGGGAGGAAGGAAGAGGGTTATTCAAGGTGATGTGGGGCTGGCCAAGGTAGGGTTTTCTCTCAAATCCATAATCAAGACAATTCAGGAGGAGCGGGAAGGCTATTTGGTGGAATTACATAGATTGGAGGGAGTAAGTTTGGAGGAAGGGGGAGACATACCCCTCTCTGTACAGCCTTTGATTCAGGAATTTTTTGAGGTTTTTCAACCACCTCTAGGGCTGCCACCACCCATGGAGCAGGAGCATGCCATCACATTGAGGGAGGGAGTGTCACCTGTTAGCGTACGACCTTACCATTACCTTCAGTTTCAGAAAGATGAAATATAAAAGCTAATCAGAGAAATGTTGGAAGCAGGGATCATCAACCCAGCACTAGCCTGTTCTCTAGTCCTGTTCTATTAGTGAAGAAGAAGGATGGCAGCTGGCGGTTCTGTGTATACTACCTCACACTCAACAAGGAAACTGTATCTGATAAGTTTACTATACCAGTGATTGATGAGCTGTTAGATGAATTGAGTGGAACAGTGATCTTCAGTAAGATCGACTTGAAATCAGGATATCATCAGATTCGAATGAAGAAAGAAGATGTGCCCAAGACTGCTTTTAGAACTCATGAGGGCCACTATGAGTTCCTAGTGATGCCCTTTGGCCTCACCAATGCCCCAGTCACGTTCCAGGTACTCATGAATAAGATCTTCAAACAGTATCTCAGGCGATTTGTTTTCGTATCCTTCGATGACATCCTAATGTATAGCAGAACAGATGAAGGAGCATTGGGGGCATTTGAAGAAGGTGTTAGAGGTTCTCCAGGACCACCAGTTGAGGGCTAAGTTGAAGAAATGCTGCTTTGCACAAGCCAGTGTGGAGTACTTGGGGCACGTGGTATCCAAGGAAGGGGTGGCAGCAGATCAGTCCAAGATTGAAGCCATATTAAAGTGGCCACTACTTAAAAATCTAAAGGAGTTGAGGGGATTCCTATGACTTACAGGGTACTACAGAAGATTTGTGAAGGGATACAGCACTATAGCATGGCCACTCACTGAGAAGTTGAAGAAAGATGAGTTCTTATGGGGGGAGTCAGCCACGACAGCATTCGAGAAGTTGAAGAAAGCTATGACCACAGTCCTGGTCTTAGCTTTGCCGGATTTTACTCAGGTCTTCATAGTAGAGACAGATGCATCCGGGTATAGATTAGGAGCAGTATTGATGCAGAGTCACAGGCCCATTACTTATTTCAGTCATGTGTTGATTGTAAGAGCCCGACTGAAATCTTTCTATGAGAGAGAATTAATGGCAATCATTTTGGCCATCCAAAAGTGGTGCCCCTACTTACTCGGGAGACATTTCATCATCAAGACCGACAAACGGAGCCTGAAATATTTGCTGGAACAATGCATGGTGATAGAGGATCATTAGAGGTGGCTATCCAAACTGTTGGGATATGATTTTGAGATTCAGTACAGGCCAGGGGTAGAAAATAAGACAGCATATGCCTTTTCCAGATGCATGGGGGAGCTGCAGATGATGGCTGTATCAGTCCCAATGATGCTGGATTGGGAAGCCATCAAGGAAGAGAGTGCCAGGGATGAATAACTAGGCAAGTTCAGGGCTGACTTACTAAAGGAAGAGGACAGCTATTCAAGGTACTCATTGGAGGGGGAGAGATTGTTGTACTAGGCGAGGTTTGTGTTGCCTAGAACATCAATTCACATTCCACATTTGCTCTAGGAGTTCCATGAAACTGTAGTGGGAGGTCATTCAGGAGTACTAAAGACCTACAGGAGACTGGCGGCAAAGCTGTACTGGAAAGGTATGCATAAAGATATGGAAGAGATAGTATCCAGATGCGAGGTTTGCCAAAGGAATAAGTATCTAGCTATGTCACCAGGGTGGTTACTGCAGCCTTTGGCTTTACCAGGTCGAGTCTGGGAGGTGGTATCTATGGACTTCATTGATGGGCTACCCCGCTCTGAGGGATTCACTATGATTTTCGTGGTGGTAGATAGATTGAGAAAATATGCTCACTTCATTCCTCTACGCCATCCATACACTGCGGTGACAGTAGCGTCAGCATTAATCAGGGAGATAGTCAGATTACATGGGTACCAGAAGCGATAGTATCAGACAGGGATAAAATGTTTCTCAGTCATTTCTGGAAGGAATTGTTCAGAATGCAGGGGACTGTGCTAAAAAGGAGTACTGCTTACTACCCACAGACGGATGGTCAAACAGAAGTAGTCAATAGGAGCTTGGAGACTTATCTGAGATGCTTTGCGTTAGAGACACCCAAACTATGAGCTAAATGGCTATCATGGGTCATGTATTGGTACAATACCTCTTTTCATTCAGCTTCTTAGATGATCCCATTCAAGGTGTTGTACGGAAGGGATCCACCCTACTTGGTGCATTTTGGGAGTAACAGTACTCCAGTTTCTTCAGTAGTGGAGTACTTGGAGGAGAAGGATAAAATCTTGAAGAGTTAAAAAGACATCTGTTGAGAGCTCAATAGATTATGAAGAAACAAGCTGATGGGAATTGGAGGGACATTCAGTTTGAAGTGGGCGAGAGG